TTAACCACCATCTTCCCAAGTTCTACTCCCCTACCTCCAGCCCCTGGTAACCACCATTCTATTCTCCATTTCTATGAGTTCAGCTTTTTCAGATTCTCTATACGAGTGAAATTATGTAACATTTATCTTTCTGTGCCTGGATTATTTCATTTAATACAATGTTCTCCAGGTTCATCCAGGTTGTAAATGACTGGATTTCCTTCTTTTATAAAGACTGGGAGGTATTTTATTGTATATTTATACCACATTTTCTGTATTCGTTCATCTATTAATGGACACTGAGGTTGATTCCATATCTTGACTATTGGGGGTAAAGCTTCTGGAACACGGGAGTGCAGGTATCTTTGACATTGTTTTTTTTTTTTGGATATTAAGAGTAGTCCTGTACTCTTGTTTGCCTTTTTTAATACATAGTTTGAGAATGCTGTGTATAAAGACCAAGGAAATATTTTAGTAGTACAATACGGCTAAAAATCCAAATTTTGTAAAAGTTTCCACTTTTGCCTTTAAAGGAAATGTAGTTTGTTTACCTGATTATATGTTAACTGATTTTATAAAAATATATATATATAAAAGCACTTAGTTTTGTAGGATTTTAATAGTTTTTTCTTTTAAATAATCACATTATTAATAATTTTAAACTATGAATATTAAAGAATATGCTTTAAGAAGAAATGGTCATACATCTTAGTGCAATTAAGTATAGCATTGTTTATACTCTGAATATTACTATAATTTTTGTTAAACTTTTACCAAGCCCTTTTTATCTTCTGTCCAGTGAATTAGAGTATAATCGTTTGTCTGTTAGTATATTGATTGTTATTTTAATCATGCAGATTCTATACATGCTTTGTTAGATTTATACCAAAATATTATATTCATTTCAAAGCTTGTATAAGGAATATTTTACGGAGAGATGGTATTTTTTTTAAGTTTTGGTTTTCAATGATACGTTAATCTGTTTATAAAAATGCAATAGATTTCTGTGTGCTTACTTTGTATCTGCAACTTTGTTAAACTCATGTATTGGCTCTAGGAATATTTTTGCACATTCTTTGGATTCTCTATGTAGACTATTTTTATTTCTTACTATGTGTTTATATAGCTTTGCTTTGCTTTGCTTTGCTTCTCTTCCCTTCCTTTCTTTCTGTTCCTTTCCCTTCCCTTCCTTTTTCTTTTCCTTTATTTTCTTATCTAATTGCACTGGCTCTAACTTCTAGCACCACGTTGACTACTGGTGGTAACAGCAGATATTGCATTGTTCCTCATTTTTAGGGATGAAAGCATTTAGGTATAGATGCTCTTTATCAAGTTGAAGAAATTTCCCTTTTTTCTAGTTTACTGAGAATTTTTATCATTAATGGGTGTTGGATTTTGTCCAATGGTTTTCTGTATCAATTAATATAATCATATGCTTTTTATAGTTTGGTCTGTTGGTCTATTGATACAGTGATTACATTTACAGATATTTGAATGTGGAACCAACCTTTCATACCGTGTTTCCCCCAAAATAAGACCTACCCCCAAAATAAGCCCTAGCAGGATTTATATGCATTTGTTAAATATAAGCCCTACCCCAATAATAAGACCTAGTGATGGACGTGGTACACTGCATGGCCATGCCATGCATTTCAACACAGAGAATAAGACATCCCTTGAAAATAAGCCCTAGTGTGTCTTCTTGAGAAAAAATAAATATAAGATAGTGTCTTATTTTCAGGGAAACATGGTACCTGGAATAAATCTTACTTGATTATGGTGTCTAATTCTTTCTTTACCTTGTTAGGTTTGTGAATATTTTGTTGAGATGTTTTGCATCTGAGTTCATGGAAACTATTAGTTGTAGTTTTCTTTTCTTGCACTATTTTGTCTGATATCTATTTCATGACACTCTCTTAAAAGGTGTTTTATGCGTGTACTGACTGTCCTTTTCTTAGAAGCACTCAGACTCTTTCTTTCCTTCTTTCCTCTCCCCTCTGCCTCCCTTCCTTATACCCTCCCCCTGTTTTCTTTCTGGCACATTTTGTTCCCCAGGGTTGGATGTAGGGGCCTGGTAGGAGGTGTTTGGGTCATGAGGGTGGATACCCTGTGAATGTTCTGCCCTGGTGTGTTCTGAGTTCTTGCTTTTTTAGTACACTTGAGAGCTGGCTATTCAAAGGAGCCTGATGCTACTTCTTCCCTCTCTCTCTTGCCGTGTGACACGTCTGCTCCCCCTTCAGCTTCCCTATCAGAAGTTCCATGAAGCCCTCACCAGAAACAGATGCTGGCACTATGCTTCTTGTATAAGTCTGCAAAACTGTGATCCAAATAAAACTCTTTTTATAAATTACCTTGCCTCAGGTATTCCTGTATAGCAGTGCAAACCCGACTACAATATCTAAATTACTTTAGATATTTTTTTCCTGTTGCTTTTGTATTCCTTCTCTCTCCGTGGTTTCCTGGGAGGCCGTCCACACACCCCACCTTGGGCTTCTTCAGCCAGTTGTTCTGCCTGACACATACATGGCAGTTCTGCATGTCCCTTCTCACACCTAGCACCCAGTTGCTGCTCTTTCATTAGATAAACACATGAGAGCCTCACAGGGTAATTTTATAATAAAAAGGTTTTAATTTGTTACATGAGTAGATTTTCCTCCCAGACCCAACCAAAACATATTTCAGAATGCAAACCTTTAAGTACCTGCCATGTTCCAACCAACACCTGCACTTCTGGGTGGTGTTCCTTTCACTTCTGCTCTCCTGATCTTCCATATTCCCCAGCTGGTCATTTATCTTGATTATGCTTACGCTCCAACAGTTCCCTCTTCAGATGGATGCCACCTGGCAAGTGTATCCTCTTGCCACCCTGTAATCATCCTCTTTTCTTTTTTCCTTACTGCCACCTGAAGTCTATCTCCTGTACCCCCACTTTCCCCTTCTAGTGCAGGGGTTTTCCATTGCAAATGTCAGTTTTCTAGTTATTTCATTTTTCTTTTCATTTTAAAACCCTTGAAAATGGCTCCAGTTAATTTTTCCATGCTTTGTATTTCGATTTTGCCATAAGGTATTGGCACAAATATACTTGCTTTTCACTTTGGAATTTCTGTGCAGCTCACCTGTTCACAGAGAGCTCAGTCTCTCTGTGTCCCTCTCCCCCATACACCCCATGAAACCCTTCTTTGTCCTTAAGTGGGGAGCTCTTAGAGGGGCTGCTAGCCATGTATCTTTGTCAGGATTATGTTCTACCCGAGAGAGTTATAATTTTTGTCAGGGCTTTTAACATCTCATATTTTTTTCAAAAGTAATTTTACTTAGTTTGACAACTTTACCATACTCAAGAGATACCCATACTCAAACACATGCACACAAATGTAACTCTTGCATGCACAAACTGCCTACAGCCTGTAACCACACTGCAGCAACCATCTAATATTTTCTTTGTATGACATCAGTACAGAAACCTATGTTTCACCACCAGAGGGTCAATCTGTCACTTAAAGAAGTATTTTAACAGTTTAACATTAATCCTTCACTTCTCACATATGGAGAGCGTTTTTATATTTATTTCAGTGGTCACGCAATAGTAGTCCATTTTGTTGATAGCATGAATATTATTTCCTTTGGTAGCTATTCATACTTTTGTGCATAGAGCATTTTCTTTTCTAATGATTACCCTCGTATTTAGTAGTAGATTACTAGTCAAAAGATTTAAATGCATTTATGATTCACTCCATAATAATCCTCTTAGAAGACTGAACTATTTTATAGAGCCAACAACTCTAGATTGTGAGAAAAAAATGTATTTTAATTTTTTTTCAGATTAATACATATAAGGGTACATGAGAATAGGTTACATGTTTGTGTTTGTTAGGAAAATTCTGAGTTGTATTTGAGTCCTTCACGTAAAAAATGTTTTATTAAAAATAATAAATATCTAAGACAAGTAAGAAATTACTTAAAGAACTAATAATCTTTTGCTATCAAGTCTTTGTACCCACACTTTCTTCTTAGAGAACATGAAGCTTAAATGTATCCAGGCTCCTTCCAAGGCTTGTTTGTTTGTTTGTTTGTTTTGGGGGTTTTTTTTTGCAGTTTTTGGCCAGGGCTGGATTTGAACCCACCACCTCCAGCATATGGGGCCAGCGCCCTACTCCTTTGAGCCACAGGGGCCACCCTCCTTCCAAGTTTTAGCACCTGGTTGTGGCCTTCCTGTGTCAGTGATAAAACAACCCCCAAAATCTGCACTCATGCTCCAATTTTTCAAACATGTTGTAGGATTTTCTTTCATTTTTTCACAATGCCTTGTTAATATTTGTAAAAGATGCATGTTTCCTATACTTACTGTTTCTTTTATAAATAAAATAAATGCATCCTTTCCTGGAGGGACGCAAATCTAATGACTTTGAAGTTCTCTCTGTAGTGTTGATATTTTAACTTTAAAAGTAAGAACTTGCTTAGCTTTTTCTTCTTATTTCAGAGTTAAAACATGGTATTAAGGGAATGAAAAGGAAACCATAAAAAGAAACTAAGAGAGAAATTAAAAATTGCCCAAAGTCCTACAGGTCAAAAGATAATCACTGTAAACATTTTGGTATTATAATTTCTGATTTTTTTCCCGTAAAATATGCA